GGTGATTGCTTCATGTCAATAAGTGTTGGCATTGCTTGCTAGGTACCAATAAAAAACAGAATAGCTCATGTCTATCATTTCATTCTTAAAACAGTGATTTTTATGTCTTTGAAGATGCAAAGATGTCCAACTTGCAGCTCACAGACACTCCTGGCCAAGGGGAGCTATGGTTACTGTCCAAGCCAAAACTATAAACTTAGATGATACAGAAGCCATCCTGATGCCAAATGATCTGTAGGCTCATGTAGCCAGAGGGTTACTTGGGGATCCCCACGCATACTATGCTACCAAGGCCTACATCTCATTATGGACTTCACAGTGGCCTAAAGTGTTGTTTTTGCTGAAGTTCACTAGGTTGGCAGCAACTCTCCTTGGCTGGAGTGGTTTGCTCCAGGCCATGGCTCTCCTGAGAGCTCTTTAAAAAGGCAATTGCACACACAGATGTGAAAAACAAAAGAAAACAATAAATGTAAACTTATTTGAGGTTTTTCTTTTTTGTTATTATTGTTTGTAGCACAAATAATAAAAAAACAGGAGATAGACATTGGGTTTCAAGTTGAAGATCAGAGAAGCAAAGCAGCCAAGCCACTAGAGAGCTTTCATCTCAACCAAAGTTCAGACAGAAGGAGAAGTCCACTGCTCCTCAGATTGCATCTCCAGACTATATTGCCCCTCACCAAATCTCAGACTACTGCCTGAGACTGCACTGGGCTCCTTATATTCTCTCTAATGCTGGGATTAAAGGCGTGAGCTCAGTTACTCTTTTAGACTGTTTCATTCTCATGTAGCCCAGGGTGGCCTTGAACTCACAGAGATCCGTCTGCCTCTGACTCCCAAGTCCTGGGATTAAAGGTGCATGCCACCACTGCCCAACTTCTATGGCTGTGGCTAGCTTTGCAATCTGATCTCCAGGCAAGTTTTATTAAGATCATAAACAATATATCACCACAATTCCCCTTTTTTGTCTACTACATAAAAGGATATAACTAATATAAGAAAAACCATGTACAATAATTATAATAAGCATATACAATATAGACAGGCAATAAGTACATCAACAATGGCTAGTCCATTTGGATTTGACAAATTCAGAGAAAATACTCCATATCCATCCTATCTTGGTGAGTCCAAAAAGTCGTACCTAATTCATTTTCTATTCTAATTTGCATTATCAACTCAAAATTATCTTCTTATGTCTCTCAATCTTATATACTTTATACTTCTTTAGTGAGTTTCTTTTCTGAGTCTGGTATACAAGGAAAACTATAACTATACGATCAAGTCTTCAACTCCCTCAGAGACCCAAGAAGGAAATATTATTAACTGAGTAAGCAGGAAGTGAGAGCAAGTGGCTTCCAAAAAAAAAAAAAAAATGTGAGAAATGACTAAAACAGCTGGCTGACTGTACAGTCACCAAGGTTCTTCCACAACATTGCGGCATCCATCTTTGGCCTAAAGGCCTAGAATATCTGACAGACATTTTTGTTAAGCAGGATTTTTGGAGGACTGTCCTGTCTTGTTTGGCAAGGTTTTGTAGTCACTATTTTGTGTCCTGCTTGTCCAGTTTGGACAGCATACTGTCAGCAGTCGAGACAAGAGCACTTTCTTGCCCAGTGATTTACATTTGCCACAAAGAAAGTAAACACCATGTAGAGTTTCTTCAATGTCCATCATCTTCTCTGAAGTAGATTGGTGCTGCCAGAAGATATGTCTCATTGTCATAAAAAAACAAAACAAGAAAACCTATGTTATTAAAACATCTTAAATGCCATATTCTGTAGATCTCTGAAGTGTTTGAAGACAACCTGTCTATCTTGAAGACATAGCTAATATGACTACAAGTTCGATTGTAATAGGTGATTAATTACTAACCTGAATTTCCTTATTAGCCTATATAGTTGGTAATAACTTGCAAGGACCAGAAATTTTCATTACATTGAAAAATAAGATGTATAGGTACAATATCTTGAACAAGATTAGAAACATGTACAGTATGCTTTAACCAAATTAACATCAAATTTGTATCAAACAAATTTTGTATACAATATACAAAAGTCTAATCCAATGTAAAATATTTAAAACTAGTAGTTGCTTTTTAAAAGTAGATTCAATAATCTACCTTTTTATCTTATTTGTCTATATATATACACATATATACATACATACATACATACATACATACATACATACATACATACATACATATATATTCCTCCCTTTTTTCCTTTTCGGAGTAGATTCAATAATCTACCTTTTTATTCTATCATATCTGCATTCCCCTTTTTTCTTTCAAAACAAGAACTCTAAATTTAATCCCCTTTGTTCAACTTTCTTCCTGACCATAACCAATAACAACCTGTAACCAACCCCCTAAAAAATGACAAATATCTATACCCAATGGAAGACCAAAAACCACCCACCCCACCTCTTGGGAATGTGGGCATAGTGTTCTTAAAGTTACTTCCTGCTGTCTGAGGGTGACAGCATCTTTAGGGGACCCTGAAAAGAAAATTTTGGGTTAATTTGGGAGGTAGCTGTAGCACTTTTGTCCAGTCTTTTAGAAAAGGGAAAGGGCAGGGCTTGTCTCAAGTCCTGGCTATAGTTTTCTGTGAGGCTGGATCATTTCTGCTAGCTACCTCGAAAGTGTTCTGAGAGGTTTGTAGTCCAAAGCCGACCTTTAGTTGGTGTTGTTCAGCTTAAAGGTGATATCACAGTTCTGGTGGAATTGTCGTTGTCAGGCCTGATCCTCCTTTTGGAGACTTCAAAGGTGGCTGTTAGGCATGTTCATGGTTCACTGAAGAAAACTGATAAAGACTCAAACCCAAAATCATGTACAGAAAGGTAGATGAAACCTTTTTCTAGAATTAATTAGTATTCTATATGACCATTAATATCATGACAAGAACTTCATGATACATATATTTATTAATCTTATAAATTTTTAAATGATATGCTTCAAGAAAAACTTCAAGGAATAAAAATAAAACCAAAGAATTATGAGATTAATGGCAATATAATAGTCCTTAAATATTTGTTTCTCCATATCAATATGCTATATTCACAGCCAAGATGGAGTGGAGGCTTCCCCCAGGTTATTTTTTTAACTTTTATATTTGAAGGAACATTCTGTATTTTAGTTTCCTAGAATTAAATCCCATGTATTATTTTTCAGACTTGGAGAATGTTATTCCTCCAAGTGGTCATGGGATCATTTTAACCTATAGAGACCTTTCTTAAAGTTAACATTTACTTATGAACTCAGCTTGAATGCTCATGAAAGAGGCATTTCTCAGCAGACAGCATAATAGTGATTCTCACAAGTGCAGCTCTGTCAGGATAATGATGACAGTGGCAAACTTGTAATTATTCTTTTATTTTTTGATATTATAATATGATTGCATTATTTTACATTCCCACCAAACCACCCCAAATACAGCATTCTTCTACTTCAAAATTCATGGTTTCCTTTTCATCAAAATTGCTGCTGAATCAATATATGAACATAAATATACATATATATTCACAAATAAAAAAATATAACCTGAAAAAATTGTTTCTCTTCTGTCCCATATCAGGTGGCTCTTCTGATATGAGACAGTGTTTTTTTTGTTTGGGTTTTTTTTTTTTTTGTCCTTTTTCTTTACATGTCTCATTTGTCCAGTGGTCTTCAAATTCTAAACAAAAGCTGGATGTCGTTATTCTCCTGAAAAGAAAAAACAAAATCCTTCCCTAATCCTATTTTTGGGGAGGTTCCCTTTTTGCAAATTATATCTGATCAAATGAAAAGCACTTGCTAGTTTTATAGGTTAATTTAAATTGCCATGCTTGATGAACTATCTATTCTAATTGAGAGGTGTCTCTTGTAAAAAATGAATGCTTATTAATTTTGATGTTATCCATATATTTTTTTCTTCTGTGGAGACAAAAGCAAAACCCCTTTACCCAATGTAACACATGTCCTGGCTTCCATTCAGAGGTCAACACATCTTTGAAGTATACTGGCTGATTTAATTCCATAGTTTTATTTATTATTATTATTATTATTATTATTATTATTATTATTATCTTCATCATCATCATCATCCAATGTCTCTCTCAACTGTTGTTCCTTTCTCATTAGCATTTACAAAACTCAAAGTTAATAAAGCACTATGCAATCTATTTCTGGGATTCTTTATCATTCCTTTCTGTTTATTTAGCATTCATTTCCTTTAAGAGTCCGATTTGATCTTTCTATAACTGCCTGCCCTGTAAGATTGTGTGGTTTACCTGTAATATGCTTTATAATAAGCAAAAAAACTGTTTCATTTTCTTAGAGACATGTGCTGGATCACTGTCTGCTCTGTCTTTATTTGTACAGGTATACCCATGACGGTCAAAACTTCTAGCAAATATTGTGATTACTGAATCAGCCTTTTCCAAATTCAAAGCAGTTGCCCATTGAAAACCTGAATAGGTATAAATGGTGTGTTATACATATTTTAATTTTCCAAATTCTACAAACTGGAACACATCCATCTGCCAGATTTCATTCCTTTCAGTAGCCTTTAGGTTACTTCCTGCAGGTAGTGGAATTTAGTTGTATAAAGAAGGACATTTCCTTGGCTTATGCCATGTAATGAAAAAGTCTTTTCTCAAACCTTTGCTATTGATATGGTGTTCTTCATGAAATTCTGAGGCTTATAGCACATTTCCTATCAATCGATCAATTTCATCATTACCTTGTGCTAGAGGGCCTGGAAAACCCACATAGGATTGGATGTGTGTTATATATATGGAATGATTCCTACTCTGGGTTATGACTTGTAACTGAATAAATAATAAAGTCAATTCTGTATCATCTGGTATAAATTCAGTGTTTAGAATATACAACACAACTCTTTCTGCATATTGTCAATCAGTAATTATGTTGAGAGGTTCCATATGATCCATTAACACCATGAAAATAGCATGTAATTCTGACTTTTGGACAGAATTATAAGGACTTAGATATACATTACCTAAATTTTCTGGTTTGTAACTGCCTTTCCTGATTTATTTGCATCAGTATAGAAAGTAGGGGCTCCAGATATTGACATTTCCTGTACAACATGAGGAAGGATCCAATTAGTTCTCTTTATAAGTGTAATTCTCCTGCTTTGAGGATAATTGTTATTAATCTCTCAAAAAAAATTACTACAAGCTCTTTGACAAGGTTCACTTCCTGCCCATAATTTGTCAATTCATCATTAGAAAAAGATACTATAATTTCTGAAGGGTCTATTCCTGCTAATTGACAAAGTCTCAATTTTCCTTTTAGAAACAACTCCAAGACCTTTTCCATGTATGATTTTAGGGTTTTTTTTTTTTTTTAACTTGGTTTATGTGGTAAAAATATCCATTCTATGATAATATCTTCCCTTTGCATTAAAATTCCTGTAGGAGAATACAGGGTAGTATGACCAGAATGCATTTAAGCTTTGGATCCACACAATCCCAATGTACAATCTATAATTTCTCTTCTACCAAAGCCAATTTTCTCTCAGCTTCAACTGATAATTCCCTGGGACTATTTAAGTCTTTGTCACCATCTAAGGTTTCATTTAATCAGTCAATCAGGTTTTATCCCAATAATGTGCCATTAATGGGAAATGTTTCCTAGCAATCTTTGAAAGTCATTAAAAGCCTGCAATTGATCTTTCCTAATTTGTACCTATTGGGATCTAATTTTTTTACAAACCTATTTTATACCCTAAATAACTGATAGAATCTCCTCTTTGTATTTTTTCAGGAAAAAATTGTAATCATCAAAAGGCAAAATTTTCTTAACTTCTTTAAACATTCTTTCTAAGCTATATACATTTGAATCAGATAGTAAAATGTCATCCATGTAATGGTAAACTATAGATTGAGAAAATTGCTTCCATATTATTTTCAACAGCTGTCATACAAAGTATTGGATTAGGGTTAACATTCCCTGTGGGAGAATCTTCCATTGATATCTCTTAGTAGGCTGAAAATGATTATAAGTAGGCACCGTGAAGGCAAATTTTTCTCAGTCTTTTTCTTGTAAAGGTATACTAAAGAGACAATCTTTTAAATCAGTAACTATAAGAGGACATCCTTTTGGCAACAGAGAAGGCAAATGAATTCCAGATTATAGAGTTCATTAGCTGAATCACAACTTATTAACAGCTCTTAGATCTGTTACCATTCTCTATTTTCCAGGTTTCTTTCTAACAACAAATTCAGGAGAATTCCAAGGGCTGGTTGATTCCTCAATATGCTGAGCATTTAGCTGCTCCTGTACGAGCTCTTCTAAAGACTGCAGTTTTTCTTTTGTTAAAGACCAACGTGCAACCCATACAGGTTAGAGTGTCAATTGCTTTAAAGGTAGGGCTGTTGGTGCCTTTAGAAGATCAGCAGCTGTTGTACCCTGTTCTTATACAACCTGAATGGTCAGTGACTGTTCTTTATAAAACCTTCTAACATTTTTCCCAGAAACATATGCTAATTTACGGTTTGTTTCTAAGATTGGGGAAAGGTTAATCTGAATATTCCATTGTTGTAACAAATCACATCCCCACAAATTTACTGCTATGTTAGCAACATATGACTTTAATTTTCCTCTCTGTCCTTCTGCCCTACACATTCGACCCATATCGTGCTCTGTTTACCAGAGATAAAGTTTCAGTTCCTAAAAAGCTGAACATTTACCTCCTGAAGAGGCCAATATGGATGCCAAGATTCTGGTGAAATTATTGTTACATCCAAACCTGTGTCTACCAGACCTTCAATGGCAACATCATTTATTAATATTTTTAATTTTGGTCTTTGCTTATTCACAGAAGTTTGCCAAAATACTCACTTTGTAGTTTATCCTTATTTTTTGTTCTCTCTTTCAGACCTTTTCTATCATCCAGAGAAGTATGGTTTCTTACAATAGGCATTAGGTTCTTTAATTGCTCTGGGAAGGAGTTTCCATGGTGATAGGAATCAATTGAACCAAGTTTGGCATAGGGGTCTGCAAGAGGCCCCTCGAGGAGTTTCCTAGCAAAGAAAAGGCCCTGAGTTCAAGGCCCAGCACTGCAACAAAACAAAGAAAATTTAAAAGTTCAAGTTATTTTGCCAGGTGGTGGTGGCACACCGTTTTAATCCCAGGACTATGGAGGCAGAGGTAGCCTAGTCTAGCTGGGCTACACAGAGAAACCCTGTCTCAAAAAAGGTGAGAAGGAGAGAGGGAGGATAAGGAAGGAAGGAAGGAAGGAAGGAAGGAAGGAAGGAAGGAAGGAAGGAAGGAGGGAAGGGAAGGAGGGAGGGAGGAAAAGAAAGAAAGAAAGAAAGAAAGAAAGAAAGAAAGAAAGAAAGAAAGAAAGAAAGAAAAGAAAAAGAAACAATACAAACAATGCTTGTATTACACTAAAGACTCACTAAGATGACAATAATCTGAAATGGAAGCAGGGAACCATCCCAGATTGTTGTAGGAAATTTGATTGCACTGTGATTCTCTGAGACTTGAATTGGGGGTGGAGCTAGAGACTAGCTAACCAAAATTGGCTACAGAGAAGCCAGAAATCTGGATAGAAAAGATGGACAGAAAGGAAAGGGTAAGGATTTGATTTTGGCTTTTTCTTTTTGGTTTTGGGACAGTAAAGCCGCATGTCTCTTGCTGAGTCTCCAGACAAAAAGCAAGATCAGCTAGTGCTAGCTCCACCCCCTGATTAACGTAAACTTTATTTAACAGTCTCAGAGTATCACAGTGAGATCAAAATTCCCAAATCAACAGATATCTATCAAGTTGCCTCAAGAGCAGTTTCTAATAGTAGATGCTGCCATATGATTCTGCTTACCTGCCTTCTAAATAACCTTTCTTTCCCTTAATCCCAACAAATTTAAAATATATACAGCCTTTAAAATTGATGCTTTTTTTGATGCTGTCTCTTAAATCTTCTAATCCAGACATTCCTACTTCTCAAATTTTTTGAAGGACTGTCTGGTTTATATTTATGATGTGTAGTTTCCTCGATTGTGTTTCTTAACAAAACCCTATTCTATGACTCTTCTGCTAGAGCAACAGGCCTCTAATAAGAATAAGAGAATAACTTTAGCAGCATCTCAAAGGATTTTCTCTGCTATGCTACCACTTCCACATTCCCATCTATTCTGAAAAATCTGGAGCGCCTGAGCAGAAACCCAAAGAACTTAATGTTTAATCCATATCTCAAACAGCTGGCTTGCCAAATACAATTGGCTAAGGTTACCAATAACTTTCCAATAGTCCGAATCACATCACTTCTGGCTTAATCTTTTACTTGGCAGCATTTGACACTTTCCCAAAATTCTCTACCTTTTACCCTATAAGTAGATATTCTTATAATCATTCAGTCCTCTTCCCATCTAAGAACACTTACTCTTTCAGTGATGATGACTAGGACCACAATGGTCACCTTCATAAACTGACAAAACAACATTTCAACAATGAGCTATAAAGCCTAAGCAACTTTAAATCCATTGGCTTCCAAAAAAGACTTACACAGGTAGTCAAGGTCATGCAGTATAGGAATAAGGATGCTTCAGTTGCAACAAATCTGAATCCAAAAAATTTGCCTTGCTATTTACACATATAGACCAAAAGGCAAATGGCTTTAAAATGTATTAATTTGCTTATGTGTCTATTAGGAAGGAGTGTGTATGCCTGTGTGTGTGTGCTGGTACACAAGAGGAGATGCAGTTATATGCACATGAATTTAGAGGCCAGAGGTCAACTTCGGGTGTTATTTTTGGGAGCTGTCCACTCTTTGTATTTTAAGGCAGGGTTTCTCACTGGTACCTGAAATGTGCCAGTTAACCTAGGCTGGCTGGCCAGAAAGCCCCAAGAATCTACCTTGCTTCATCTTCCCAAAGCTAGGATCACAAACTTGTGCTATCACACCTGACTTTTTACGTGGATGCTGGAAATTGAATTCAGATCCTTACATATCCACAGGAAGCAATTTACTAAGCTGTCTCATTAGACTGACACACAACTTCCTGAATTTGACCTTTGTTGTCCTCCACAACTTCTCTACAAATAACACTTCTCTACAAATTTTTGTTCTGATTAAAGAAAAAAAATTAAATGGGAAGTTTCTACCCTACTTTGACAGTATGTCCTAGGAACTATGGGCCTCAGAAGTAGCAGTGAAGGAGACATTAGTAGGGAAGACACTAGTCTGGAGTTGGGAAAGTGGCACACACAAGATGACTGAGCAAATAAGTAGTTACACTAAAGAATGGTAAGCACCAATTTCTTACTGCTAAAGAAAAGAGTTACAGATACAGAATGGAACATGGGTCAGTGGTTCCTGCTTAGCATGCCTGAGGGTCTAAGTCTCTCCACACTAACAGAATTAAAACAAAATCTAACAAACACAGAAAGGGAAAAGGCAAGAGAGAATTCTTAGTGCTAGACCAGAACTGGTTTACCAGTTTAAACAAACACACCAGTGTCTGTTTTGTTTCTAAACACCTCCTCTACTGAAAGAAATAAGGATTCTTTAGAGAAAGGAATGATCCCACAGCTGGAACAGAAAATATAAGATGTATTTAGAATACACTGGGAAGTACACCAATGATGGGGAATGTCCAAAAGACAAAGAAGTCAACTTCAAAAAGTTCCACTACAAAATCTGGGACAGGCTGAGCAGTGAAATAAAATTTCAAATCACAGTAACTAATAAAAACCACCAAACAGAAACAGAATTCCATGGGTATATATCAGTTTCAATGAGTGACAGAATGCCTATCCTGACAGAGGATAAACCTAATTGATAATGTTTAAGCTCTGATGAGAGGTATTGGTACAGTCTTGGGTTTCTCTCCACCTAAAATCAGTGGGCCTAGTGTGTGCAAAGGCTGTAGGTTTGATCCTTAGCACCACAAAAGAGGGGTTAGAGATTTAGCTCAGTGATAGAACATCTGCCTAGGAAGAACAAAGCTTTGGGTTTGGTGTCCAATATGAGAATAGGAAAAAACAAAACAAAACCACAGAGGTGAAAATGATGACTTCACATGACTTACATAGTAGAGACACTCAGAAAGCATGAGCTTACAGTGTTCAAGGTCAAACATCACCCGTGGTGGGCCAATACTGTGTCTCTGGGTGGTGAACTAAGAATAGCATATCTTTCTGTAGTAGGCACTCCTGCCAACAATGTTCTCAGTGGTGCATGTGAGCCATTGGGAGTATTTAACTAAAGTTACAGAATAAAAGGACTGTACCATTTGAAACTGTCAAGGTTGTTAAAGACAGAAAGAGTTACTGAGGATTGTTCTAAACTCAAGAAGGGTAAAGAGGGACTAGTAAGATCACTTAGCAGGTAAAAATGTCTGCCACCAAGTCTAACAATCCATCCACATGGTGGAAGGAGATAACCAACTTCCAAAAGTTGTCTTCTGACCTATATACAATTGTAAACACACAAAAGAAAGGCCAAAAAAAAAAATTAAACAAAAGAAGAGTGAAGGGACATGAAAAATGCAATATATGATCCCAAATTGGCTCCTGGACTAGACAGGGAAAAAAAAATAACATTAGGATCATAGGGAAAATGTGACTGACATTTATGGATCTGAAGTTGGTGTTGTATGAGTGCTCGTTTCCTCAGACAGTTTGTAGGTAATTGTTCATGTTTTGGTAAATAAAGACTAGAATATTTAGGCATTTTGTCCACAACTTGCTCTCAATTGGTTCAGAAAGTCTAATCAGATTAATGGTGCACTCATTAGAAATGTGGAACTAATGATGAGAATGTTATCAGCAAAGACATCAGGTAATTTAACCAAAACTTGAGAATCCAATTAGCTACAGTATAAGAGGGCCAAGATGAAGACATGACTAGGTCACCTGGCATAGGGGCACATGCTGTAATCCCAACATTTAGGAGGTATAGACATGAAGATCACAAGTTCCAAGCCTTGACTAATATAGAGAGGGCTCAAACCAGCCTGACATAAAACCCTGTCTCCAAAAACAACAAAACAGATACAGCAGAAGAGAAAAAGTATCAGTTCCAATGCCAGAGAGACTTCTGGACAACTGAAAGGACATCATCACTAAGTCCACTTTATTAAGTCAAGAATAACAAGATGTCCCAGGCTAATCTTATATACACATATAGTATATAGCTAGTTCAATGTTAAAATGTGGTTGCAGGGTTTTCAGGAGTTCTTTATATATACCCTAAGAATTTTCATCAGGTGTGAAATTACTTCAAGTGTTAATTTTCAAAAGTTCAGTGTAAACTCATAACAACCATGGTGCCAGCAAAACAGCTGGTTCACTAAATATACTCAAAAGTATTTGGCCCTCCCTTCCCAAACGAGAGTTACCAAAGGATAAATCTCAGCACTAACTTCATCTTTTTGCCTCCTTCCTCAAGTCTAAATTATTCTCATTCTTTATTTCCCCATCTCAAATTCTTATCATAATACCTCACCTGCACCACTGTAACAGCCCAGCCTTCTTGACTCCCTGATACTCTTATAAAGCTTTGTACCATTAACTATAAAATCAGGAACCCATACTTGTAAAACCTATACTTGATTTGATTTGCTTATTCAAATATCTGTATCTGCTGCCTATTGATAACATTATTTTACAAGGCAGGAAAAGATATTTCATATATACATTTATACATTCATACACAAAGAAAACAATGAATAAGTTAAGTACCAACGGGAGCAAGAATGGAGAAGGGAGAGGAAGAGATCTTTGAGCTAGGCACAGCAGCTCAAACCCATAACCTCAGCACTCTATAAGGCTAAAGCAGGAAGATTGCCAAGAATTTGAGATCAGACCGAGCTAAACAGTGAGACCCTGCTTCAAAAAGAAAACAGAGGAAGACTTTACTTGACTTTTAATTCATGCTTACTTTAAGACTTTGTATTTATGTTTTATGACATGGTAGGCATGCCAAGATGGAGTGGAAAAAAGTTTCAATAGTTAGAACTTCTAAAACTCTACTTTTCCCAACTTGACATCAAATAAATAAAACAATCATTTACCACACTGAGATAAACCAAGGAGATAATTTAAAGTCAAAAGA